AGTACAGAAAGTGGCATTTTCTGAAAAAGAAAGAACATAAATTGCAAATAAGCTGTAGCAACAAAAATTTTTCCTAAAATTTATGAGTGCCCTCTTTTTCACGCTCTGTCTAGTACTCGATCTGTTTCTATTGCTCGTCTTCAAGTGAAGCTATTTTTCTTGAACTTTAGAAGGAAGAGCTCCCTATTTTGTTGTTTTGATGTTGTGTTAAAAAATGTGGCACCATTTTCTGAGACTTCCTGGCTCTGTTTCTTTTCCACAATTTTACCTGGACAGTGTTTTTTCTTTGTCTCCTTTTTTTCCTGCTATTCTCAGTAATTGCTCTGCATTGTAGAGGCACTTTGTCTTAAGAGGCAACAGTGGGCAGACTTGAGTGTTCATCGGGCTTTGACCACTCCAGACCTCTCAGACCGTATGAGAGACCCCTTGCAGTCGCCTGTTCTGGAAGTGCAAATCCCCTCTAAGTTTCAGCTTTCCTTCTAAAATTGGCCCTCCAACTTTCCATGAGTATCTCCTGGCTGTTTTTGTTATCTTGAGTCTGTCAGAAGTCTGTGGCTTCCCTCTTATTTCTCTTGATCAGATGCTAATACCGTGCATGTCTTGTATCAGCTTTTATTCCAACTACTCACACTAGCCACACAATTGTATTGTGTGGCTAAGTACTAAGTAGTTAGTACTGTTTGTACTGTTTGTTTTTTCATGGGGAAGATTCGAAAATTGTGCAGCTGTTGCCACGTTTATACCTTGTGCACTTTATGCATGTTATACGTTGATAAAAATGTTTACTTAAAAATAATGAGTATTGTGAACCACTAAATGCCCCTGCGCTGACACTGCCTGATTTAACTAAGCCTTTCCAGTTGTACGTGGCTGAGGCTCGAGGAATAGCAAAAGGAGTCTTGACTCAGAAACTGGGACCTTGGAATAGACCGGTAGCATACTTATCTAAAAGATTGGACCCAGTGGCCTCTGGCTGGCCGGGGTGTGTGCGTGCTGTTGCAGCAACTGCTGTTTTGGTAAAGGAAGCCCTAAAATTAACTCTGGGACAGGACTTGTGCATAATCGCCCCTCATTCAGTAGAGACTTTGTTAAAAAGCCCACCAGACAGGTGGCTTTCCAATGCTCGGATAACTCAGTATCAAGTGTTATTATTGGACCCTCCTAGAATTCGCTTCCTGAAGACAGCCTCTCTCAATCCTGCCACCTTACTTCCAGATGACAAACTTTCAGAACCATTACATAACTGTCATGAGATATTGGAGTCTCTGACAAACTTACGGGCTGACCTTACTGACCGACCCTGGCCAGATCCTGATGAGGAGCTATACACAGACGGGAGCAGTTACGTGGATGAAGGAACTAGGTATGCAGGGGCTGCGGTGGTTACCAGAAATCGGGTTATCTGGGCACAAGCTTTGAATCGAGGAACTTCAGCTCAGAAAGCAGAACTCATTGCTTTGATCCAGGCCCTAAGGTGGGGGAAGGACAAAGTTATTAACATTTATACTGATAGTAGATATGCTTTTGCTACTGCTCATGTTCATGGGGCACTTTACCAGGAATGGGGCCTTCTAACTTCAGAAGGAAAGAAAATGAAAAACAAATCTGAAATCTTGGCTCTACTGGAAGCTATATGGCTACCAAAAAGAGTGGCCATCATCCATTGCCGGGGGCACCAGATCGATGACTCTCCAATGGCAAAAAAAAATGCGTTCGCCAACGCCGCGGCTAAGAAAGTTGCCAGAAAACCAGTGGGGCCTCTTCACATTCTACCTGTTCTGCCCGAACGACTTCTGCCACCTTCACCAACTTATACAAAGAAGAAATTGAGTTGGGAAAGACTTTGGAGGCTAACACTATTACGGGGGGTTAAAAAACCCTTCCGGATAATAAGATCCTGGTTCCTAAATGTTTAGGGCGACAATTAATTAAACAAATACACCAAAATACGCACCTTGATAGCACAAAATTAACGGAGCTTCTCCAAAGAGACTACTATATACCTAGTCTACATCAGATGGTCCAGCAGGTAACTACAGGATGCCTTGCCTGTGCACAAATTAATTCAGGTAAAAGAATAAATTCTTCTCCTGGGACCAGATTGAGGGGACAAGTCCCGGGAGAACAGTGGGAGACGGATTTTACAGAGATAAGGCCAGGTAAATATGGATATCGCTATTTATTAGTATTTGTTGATACCTTCTCAGGTTGGGTGGAAGCGTTTCCCACAAAGTTAGAGACAGCACAGGTAGTGGTAAAGAAGTTAGTGACAGAAATTGTTCCTAGATTTGGCCTCCCCTTAGCTCTGGGGTCCGACAATGGTCCAGCGTTCATCGCCAAAACCACTCAATTATTGGCTCAAATATTAAAGATAAAATAGAAATTGCATTGTATTTATATGCCTCAGAGCTCAGAGCAGGTAGAAAAAATAAATAAAACCTTGAAAGAGACACTGAGTAAACTAAGAGCAGAGACAGGCGAGGACTGGGTGAGTCTCCTTCCTTTCGCTCTACTAAGAGCTAGATATACCCCTTATATAAAAGGCATAACTCCATATAAAATCATGTTTGGCCGTCCGCCCCCACTGGTTCCTAAAGTGGGGGAGGACAAAATAGCACAGTTAAGTGACCATTCCCTTCTCAAGTCCTTACAGGCCTTGCAGCTGAGTACCCAGAAAACTCACGACCCGGTCAGGGCTGCGCACCCAGGCCCTGCTAACCCTTCTTCTGACAAAGTTCCATTCCAGATACAGCCTGGAGACCTCGTCTGGGTACAGAAGCTTCAACCCGCTGCTTTGGAGCCCAAGTGGACCGGACCTCTGCCAGTAATCCTCACCACCCCGACGGCTGTGAAAGTAGCAGGAAAGCGCCATTGGATGCATTATACCCAGGTCAAGAAGGCGACTCCAGACCAAATCCCAAGAGAACAATGGATGGCTCAGCCCACCGAAAACCCGTTAAAGATAAGGTTATTAAAACATTCCTCTGGGACATCCTAGTCGGTGTAGTGGGAGCGAGTCCCCACCAACCTATAAATTATACTTGGGTGCTCACACAAACGGTAGATGGCACTATAGTGACTCAGAACTCTACGATATTCTCACCTCTTCTTCATTTTGATTTGTGCCAACTCTTGGGGGAAAATTACAATAAACCTGTGATAGGAAAGCCACCCTACCAAAAAATCCCCGAGTGGGCTCGCCTAGAACCAGCTTATGAATGTGGATCTGTTAACATAGAAAAGGGCCTACAGGACATTCAATATTATAGTTGCCCTGCCACTGGCCCTCTGTATTGTCAGACAAAGGGACATTACCATTGTGCTGAATGAAACTGTGTGACTGTGGCTACTTGGATAAACAATGACCCTGATATTCTACTGATAAAAAGAACCCATGCTTGTGCTTCCCTAGGAACTTGTAATCCTGTGACTATAAGTATTAAGCAATGGCAAAACCAAGCTTGGGCATCAGAAAAAACTTGGGGATTCCGTTTATATGTGACAACAGGAGGATCCAATGACCCGAGGGTCTCCCTCACCATACAGCGGTTCACCCCTGTTCGACAGTTCAACCCCATAGGGCCAAACCGGGAAATTTATTTAGGGCCCGAACTGCCGACTCTGTCACGTCACCCTATGATGTTAACTGTCCCTACACAGAGTCTGTTGCCAGGTCCTCGCCGGAAGCCTGTGCTTAATTTGCTAAATTCTGTATACAAGTTTATTAATCAAACAAAACCTAATATGACCAGAGATTGTTGGCTTTGTTTAAACCCGGAGCCCCCTTATTATGTTGGTATTGGGGCCACCCGACCCCTTGGTCAAAAAGAAAATTGTATTAAAAATTTAACTACTGAAGATGCATATAAACAACATCTATATAAGTGGGGCCAAAAGCCTAAGCTGACCTTAGAGGACTTACAAGGGCAGGGGACCTGTGTTCATCCACTAGGTTTCACCTTATCCCAGTCTCCATATGCAGACTCCTGCAACGTTACTATTCAGTTAAATAATTTTACAGATTCTGAATTGGAAACACTTTTGGTGGCTCCAAATGGCACGTGGTTTGCGTGTACCACTGGCATTACACCTCGTGTAAGGCCCTCTATAATTATACAAAAACAAGATTTATGTATCCTATCTCATATTGTTCCTCAGGTTTATTTTTATTCAGGTGAAGGAGGGAGAGAGCATCTACAAGCCTCCACTACCTGGCGGATAAAAAGAGCCATCCCGATTTTAGCACCCCTACTAATAGAACTAGATATAGCAGGCTCTGCTGCTATGGGTACTACAGCCTTAATCACCGAGAATCAGAATTTTAAGATATTAAGCCACCAAGTGGACCTAGATTTAAGTGACTTAAAAAAATCTATTAGTTACTTAAAACAATCAGTAGATTCATTGGCTAAAATGGTGTTACAAAACAGAAAAAGATTAGATTTATTGTTTCTAAAACAAGATGGTTTATATATGGCCCTAAAAGAGACTTGCTGTTTTTATGCCAATCATTCCGGAGCTATTCAAAACAGCCTTTCCCAAGTAAAACACAGAATAAGAAAAAGAAAAGAACAATTAAACACTGGAAATAATTGGTATAAAAATTTGTTTACTTGGTCTCCGTGGCTCACCACTCTTCTGTCGGCTATAGCTGGTCCGTTACTTTTAGTTCTATTAATGCTTCTAATCGGACCATACATACTCAATTGTCTAATAACCTATATACAGAAACATATACAGGGTATAAAGTTAATGGTGCTACGCACCCATTATCACCACATTTGTGAAAATAAAATATAACGGGACATCAAAGACTTGATCCCTCGGTAAAAACCGGTGGGGAATGTGGTGAGCTGAGAGCTTTACAATAAGGGGTTAATAAATGAAATAAGCAATACGCCAGGGGCTGGCTAAATCATAGCTACATAGTTAAAGTGTTACTAGACTGAAAGAATGGTCTTTTGTCTAATGACTGCCATCTGCTTCTGTAACCCAGCTTGCAGCTTGCTTTGAAAATTGTAATCTGCCTTCAGGCGCCAGAGATCTGTGGGGGCAACTATGTCCCATAGCCTTGTGTCACTGCAACCCTGACTTCACTTCCCGCCTTTGTTCCCTGAACACCTGCCCTATGTCACGTAGTCTCCCTCAAAATAGTATAAAACCCTTGTAAAAACTTGAGACATTGCCATCCTCTCGTACTGCTTTTATGCGGGCAGAGGTGGTGCTGGCCAGCTAATAAAGACTCTCAATTTGGCTCCATTGAATTCTCTCGTGGTCTGTTCGCACCCTCCACACTACAACAGGTTCTGATAAACATCTAATACATACATTTTTACATTTTGACTGTTTACATTCTTAAGACAAATTTCTAGAACTAGAATATGCTGAAACAAAAGCATGTCCCTTTTTGTTTCGAAAGTCACAAAATGACATTGTCGAATGTACATTTTTCTCCTTTTCTTTTTTTGTGAAAAAACACTCAGTCATTGATGCTGAAGAAAATATTTTTCAAGGATAACAGTTGGTATGTGTGTGTGTGCGCGCGTGTGCACGCACGAAAATGAATTTTTTAACATATTGCTATGATCTTCAAGAAATAAAAAATTAGAAGATTAGAAGACCAAAATGAGCAGTCTGGCGTTTGCCTCAGTGTGCAGCACCAACACAACGATGCTGAGCATAAAAGCAAAAAGTTCATGGATCCCACGTATCTTTGATCACTGTCAGTATAACTCATAGCTAGTTGCCTTGTTTCTTTGAGAGAGACCTTTTCCAGTAATTGTGATTTTGCTT